TAAAAGTTACAATTTTCATAGATAGGCATCCCTGTCGAGCCGATTTACCAAGAGGTTACTATATAATTTGTTCTAACTATCGTCTACATACTAGTCATAAACATTATAAATATGCTAAACATTAATTGGATTGGAATGTGTTTAAATGCACCAGGTAACTTACTTTGCACATCTAATTATTGTCAGGTAAAATAATTGCGTAGAGCACCTACGCTCTCTGGCAGGAATTATATCCAGTTATAAAATAATTTTTAACTTTGCATGGAAAACTTATTACGGAGCTCTTCTTACATAACATGGCTATTAATAATTTAATCATCAACTGCTTGTATCGCAAATTTTCGAGTGTTGTGATAAAACGTAAAATACTTTAAAAATAGCTAAATAAATCCTTTGATGATTACTGTTAATTTCATTGTGACGAAATATAGAGTTCTGTTAAAATTTCTTGTATTATTTTTATAATTAAATTACCAAATGCTTGTATCGCAAATTTTCGAGTGCTATGACATAACATAAAATACAAAAAGAGCTCAATAAATCCTTTGATGATAACTTATAATTTCATTTTAACGAAATATAGAGCTTTGTAAAAATCTCTAGCATTATTAATTGTAGGTAAGTAATTCTTATTAATGTTTAAAATGAAAAGCTAGCCCCTGACTTATTTTTGGGCACTAACTGATATTTATTATGTCATTGTAGATGCTCGCCATCAAGTAAACCGCATTTTTTTGTATTAAACTAACTCGATTGAACTGATTCTTGGTTTTTTGTTTGCTCGTCTTTCTAAGTTGTACGAATTAGTTTATTTTAAGCTTCATCTGCGGATGTGAGTAGGATAGGTCTTAAATCTAGAAGACTTATGCCCGTTTTCACCATCAATCCCTAATTTTTAAGCGACCCCTATGGTAATAAAATTCCTGTTATATGTTACCATAGGGGCGCCACTTAAAAATTAGGGATTGATGGTGAAAACGGGTATTAGTTGAATAACATCCTGCATTCGAAACCTACGCCTAAAAATATTTATTTATTTATTTAAGGATAGTACACAGCACAATATCAATATGTAATAACAATGTTTTTATCCTTGCTCAGTATTTATAGAATCGGACTCAACGTTGAACGATTTTCGAGGAAGATCTTACTTAAGAGTACGGATTTTATTATTAGTATTTTATTTATTATTTTATCTTACGACCATAATAGGAATCAGACGTCTAAACAGATATTTCTCGGTCATCGCGAATGTCTGTATCGTGCTTTAGCGGAGCTTAGTACTCTTACTTAGTACAACGTAACACAGCGTGAGCGGTCAGATTAAAGTACATATTTGTAAGATATTTTCCTGCTTTTGAATTTATAGAGTGGACTCCGAGGCAAATTAGGCGTAGGAGCGAGATATTTGTGTGTTTTATAATAAAAAAAAACTATTAATTTATTACGTCTTCAAATTATGAAGCTTCAATGTAGCGTTCGATAAATAAGGGTTAGATGTGTACTTTCATACTCGTATTATGCAAAAAAGGATTCGCAGACACCAGTTTTGGTCCTGCTCTGTTTACGGTATGAATAGGCTCTTAGATTTTGTACCTAATTGTTTGCAGCTATCGTTCCGCTAAGATTTCTGACTGCGTACTCAGACTATACTACTAAGCGCAAATGCCGTTATCTCGATAAAGGTTTATTTTAGGATCACTAGATCGCGACATCTTGCCTGTAATAGGCATTTTGACATTTTAGAGATTACATTTCCTAGTAATACGGTTATTTCCCTTGTAACACTGTATTTCATAGTTCCGCAGGTTTGTAACTGATTTCTATTCATCATGTCACCTAACAAGCAAAGTTATTTTGTAGAGTTCCAATATTGTGCATATTATAACTGAAGTTAATGAAGTTGATACTTCGAAGAAAATGAAGTATTCTTGGTCGTATTTCTCACTTACAAAAGTTAGAATCTCATGTGTTTTGTTAGTTACTACTCGTACATACAGTAATCCAACAAAATGGTTAAATATTTCGGACATCTTAAATCATTATTGTTTCAAGTTTATTAAAATGTTGTCTGAGTTTTCTCAGAAAACTAGGGCGAAATTATAATTTTTTGAGCTTCAAATAGCACACATTTATTTTTAAACCACATAAGTAAAAAATATAAGTACGAATAAATTAGTTTTCTTAAATGTTAGCCCCATTAATTGAGATTTTCAGAATAAAAAATACGGGTTGAATAAAAGAGTGAATAAAAGAGAGCCTAAATACAATCATTTCTTGTATTTAAATTATATGGTCACTGACAAAGTTATTTTTTTAAAGATGCTGTTAGTTATTGTATGGCACCATACAATTTTGCGACCTTGAAGCTAGGTGTAAATACAGGAAAACATACTGTAATGGGTCAATTTCCCAAACACATTTTTTGAGCGGCGTAGCTGAAAATCATATGTTTTTTATGACATAGAACTTTGATTTTTTTTTACACGAAAATATACAGAGGTTCCCTTTTGAGGACGACATTATTAATGAGTATTTTCTTTTACAAATTCGACAAAAAATAATTGAACTAAGCGTTTCTAATTTTGGTGCAGTGTCCACATCCTTAATTTCTTACAATATGTATTTTTTTAGCTGAAGATCAAAACAGAACTTAGGGAAAAAGTATATTTTTGGATTATACAATCTATCTATTATCTAAGATTACCAAATTAAGCAAGTTTCCCAAATAACTGTGATTAAGTCACGTCCTTAAGTTTTGTCCGCGAAAAATTTATGATTTTGGTGTCAATAATGAAATAGCTCGTCAGTTTCTTTAAAGATCAAACAGGATTTAAACACTCCCATCATTCGTTAGGTTTAGTACCGCCCCCGCGAGCAGTGACGGCAGACGGGTGCAAGACCTCTGCGTCTTCCCGCCAAAAACGTAAATGTGTTGTTTTTTTTTAAACGGACAACAATTCTGCAATTTTGGTGTCTTTTTGTATAAGATTTCTAAGCTATTCTTTTTAGTTGAATTCCTCGTATAATGTAAAGGAACTGTTTTCATACCATGTGTTAAAATGTTATTGTTATATTTAAAACAGATTTCATATAATTTAGCTTTTTCAACGAGAATCTAATTTTGGTGAGTCAATTTTGGTGTTTTTGGTGGTGCACCAAAGCATTTTTAACCGACTTAACTCCGTCAATTGTGAACCGATTTTCAAAATTCTTTTTTTGTTCTATAGGGTACACTTATGTGGTGGTCCCATTGTCACCAAGTCAGGATCTGATGATGGGATCCTAGGGAAATCGAGAGTAAACCTCAAATTTTGTAGGAATGCAATACGTTTTCTAAAGTTATTCAAGTAGTCATCATCTAATGTTGATGAGGTGATGATGGAAGGTAAAACTCCTTAACGCTTAGGAGTTGGAGGATAATTCTTTAAATATTTTAGGTAGGTATGTACATACAGTTGTATTATTTCAGGTATTTAAGATGAGCTGATGATGAAAGGTCAAACAACATAAGTTAGGAGTTAGATGATACTCAATACTCATTTGTTGATACATACATTGACACATGATACATTGATACTTTTTAGTTGCCGATATTTAAAGTAGGGAGCCTGTATTTTGCTAGGAAGATTATTTACACTTGGATTGTGATTAAGACTATAATTTTCCATTACAAAATGGAAAATTATAGTCTTAATCACATTAAACATAGGTACTGTCCCTCTTCAGTGACAATAACAAGGACTAATCAACTAAAAAGCATGAAAAAAAATAATTTTAACAAAAAAATTAAAACCGACGCCAACAATCACTTAAGTAGAAAATAAGTACGTCGTTATTTATTTATTAGGACAATATACCATGATTAATATTTTTGGAGTCGGTGCTGGTAAATTTAAAACCATTTCTTGAGCTTGGCACTAAGATATGACCGACTGACAGCATATTTTCTAATTTTGGTGCTTTAATATAAATTTTGGTGTTCTCTTAATTTTGGTGTAAGGAAAATCTAAAAAACTACTGGACAAAATTTAATGTCTTAATCATTTTAGAAACAGTATAAGTTTCCAATAAATTTGATCTATAATTAAAGAATAAAAATACACAAATAACAATTTCCACCAAAATTAGGCAAAAATATACACTTGTTGAAATTCACCCTAATACTACATTACGTCATTTTTATGCTACGTTTTTTGGCAGCTCTTTCTAACTTAAACTTACTATCATTGAATATTTATATTCAGCCTATTTTTTAAATTGTTACAGATTCTTCACAACGCTCAGATATCTCGGGCGTCGTCTAAAATAAATAAAAGGCACTGAGAACTAGATCTATTGAAAGTAAGAGCAAAATAATAATAGCCGATATTACTTTTTAATTTTAATAAATTCAAGTTATAACTGGACTGAACTAGCTGAAGTTAATGTCTCTGCACTCTCAAAAATTTCACAAACTTAAGTAGGTATCTTAAACTGTCTATTTCAGAAATCCTCTTCGATTCGAATTTATTAATGTTAATGAAGTTAACACCATCTAAGCTATTGCTAGACTTAATCACTTTGCCGGACAGCAAGCACATTTCTTTGGCAACTTCAAATAACATTCATCGCATCGCAAAACTATCAGACAACTTTAAAAATCACCGGCACCATTGAAAACCGTTTCGAAATTTAAGCAAAGCTAGCACAGTCAGAATTGCAATCCTATTATATGAAAATAAGGTTAAAAAATTAATTATTTGACACAAAACGGTGCCCGAAAGTCGTAAAATTAAAATATTTTCAGTTGTTGCACAAACTGCCACCGTCAGTAACAATGAACTCAATATATTGCTCTCCAAAAATATTTTAGCGTTAAAACTTTGTCAGCTTATTGGGATTTAAAAAAACAACCGAAACTCGTCGCTAAGAACTGCAAAAAGTTTTGCAAAAGAATGTTTCAGTCGGCGCGGTGAGCGAGTCGGCCGGCTTTCGGCGAAATCTCTGGAAGGACTTACCTGGACTACCAGGGAGGCGGAGATGAGCAGAAGCACCGCCACGGGGACCCCTCTGGGCCTCATCGTGGCTCGACGGTGAAACTCGAATGTTGAAAAGTTTCAATTGGAGGCCGGCAGGAGCAGTAGCTGCGACCGCGCGACGCCCCAGTCGGACCGCGAATGATGCCTGCGAGCGAGCGCCTCCGGTCCTCCACAAGTTTTCGTCCAAACGTCAAACCGCACGCAGCGGCTCGCGGCTCCGACTTGCATCGCGGCCTACGCGAGGAATGCGCTTTGTTCACCTATAAACACGAAATTCGACTCACTAACAAACCAAAAAACGTACACCAAATTAATATGGCCAACATACTTACTCACTGACGTTGCTTCAGACAGCTTTGCAATTGTTTCTATACATAAATGTTTTATGCAAATATGTTTTAAAAAGAGTAATGTAATACATTTTGCTCTCACGGAGCCTCAGCCCTGCAAAGTTCCATGACCTCTCCTGCGCTTATCACTTTGGCGCTTGGTGATTACAACGGCGTAAATCCGAATTTCTGATTTGATAAAACGAGCCTTATTATTAAATAAACAAAGATTACAACCACAGCAGTTGAAAAATGATTCAATAGTATGATATCGCTATTTACTCGTCACACCCAATTCCGTCTCAAAATGCCTACAGTGCATAATTCCTTCTTAAAAACCCAAAAGTACACATTTTTTCATTTTGGGTAGTACATGCAAAAAATTCAAGGTCATTATTAAATATTAAATAAAGCATTTCTGTACATTGCCAGCTTTTAAAATATTTTAGTTCATAAATTATTATAATGGTTAACAAATACAAAATTTCAAATACAATATTAGTTGAATAACTATTGTTTTCGGCATGATGATGCAATTTGTATCATAAATTGTGGTGAATGACCTAATTTTATCTACATACTCAATGCTATTTGCGAGTATGTAGGAATATCCAAGTAGACCAGTTATTTAGTAGTTTTACCTCGAATGTTTTCCGGGGATAATGAAAATTGGTAGGGACCATACATATTTAAATTAGATTTCGATGTGCTCTTTACGAATTTCAACCACATTTCATACCATTGACACTTACCTCAATTATAACCTTGTGTACTTACTTAACATTGTTATTGTTACTAGCAAATAGAGAATTAGAGAAACTAAAACTAGAGAAAATTTCCTCCCACCTTGTAAAGTGGGGATGAATTTTTTTTTTATCTTCTACTCCATCGTGTGGGGGTATCGTTGGATAAATCTTTTAAAATGGCTCAAGGGTTTTAAGACTATTTTTCCATTTAGGGATCTGTTTGCAAGTTATTAAAGTTTAAAGTGCCAATTTTTGTTCGAGTAGGGCGTTCCCCCCTCTAAAAACTAAACTGTTGGCTTGAAAAATCTGGAAAAATTCGTAATGATACTGCTTTTCATGAACTTTCAAGGAAAACTATAACGATTAAGATACATCAGTTAGTTTAAGTTTAATAGTCATTTAACTCATGTATTATAAAATGTCTTATGAAAATTATTTAGAAGAAAATATTAAAAGTGACTTTAGATGAAGTAATTGCTTGCTTCTGAAATATATTGTGTTAACGACGGACAACTACGGAACCCTACACTGCGCGTGACACGACACGCACTAGGCCAATTTTTATTCAATTCTATCGCAATGTATTAAGATATTTTAACATTCTAAGAGTCCACCTTCGCGTTTTTAAATGAATTTTAAATTGACTACTTAGGTTGGTTATCGTAAGTACATACATGCGCAAATCTTTTATGTAAGCCAAAAAAAATTAGAATATGATTTCTCATGAAGAAAAAAAACATTTTCGTTCGTTTCAGCCGAATGATGATGTCCACAGCTGGACAAAGGCCTCTCCCTTGATTCTTTATTGGCACAAAATATATTTCGAAAGACAAAGAATCCACTGCCTTAGATGGGACTCAAACCCACAAACGCTTGTCGCCTGCTCTCATCACTGAGCTATAGTCGCATAATAATAATTACGTTACCCGGTTCTTAGGTCACAGAGTAAATCGCCGAGACGCCGACAGACTTGATTTTAACAGAGTAATAGTTATTTCCAGGGTAGATTTTTGTGTAGTGGTAGAGAAGTTTCGCAACTGAAATAAGAAAGGTCGTGTATTCGAGCCCCATTTGAAGTAGTCATAAGATTTATTTTGTTAAAACACTTTTCTACATTTATGGACTTGCTTGATTTGTATAGAATTTAGACTACATATTATCGTGGCGTATCGGCATGTCCGAGACACGCCGCGCTCTTTATTTGGTATGCAAACCACAATGAAAGCGGCCGCGTGTAGTATTGTATGTAGCTCTGCTTAATAATAGTAAATTAGTAGTAGTAGATGTCATCGAACCGAATGATCATCATCGAATTCAAAACCATCAAAAATAAAGTTCTTTTAATGGAAAAAAAGACATTAATTAATTTATTTTTATTTTTCTGTTAAATTATCATCCCAATCTTTAAATTGAGCAGTTTTCAATACCTATTAAAAAGACCTGTTATGTTTAGCTTTGATTACACTGCGGAACAAAAAAAATAAAAAAATCTGCGGCATCTATTTTGTTAATGGATTTTGTAAACACATGTATTAGACATAAATGGTGTGCATTTACTTTCTTTGGATTGACTCTGGTTCTTGAGATAAACGAGACGCAAGAAATCAATGAAAAAAATTAAACGACCCTCCCTAAACTTATATTAATTTGATTATATCCCACAAGTTTTATTTTCTACTCATGTATTAGTGTAGTTGTGGTTACAACAATTTAGTAATCAGCTACTAGACCTTGAAAGTGGTGCCGTGTGGGGACGGCCGTAAAAGAATACTTTTCCCCACCGCCAACAGGAGGCGTGTCGTAAGAGGCGACAAACTCCTGTAGCACCGGACGGGCAGCAGCGTCTGCGTGCGAAACCAAGTAAAAAACTGCGATCGCCAACCCGCCTGCCAAGCGTGGCGATTAGGGCAAAACCCTCCAAATGGTAGCACAAACAAAAAAACGGCCCCTAGTCCCCGGCGGCCCCACTATCCCGGACCACGGTAGCGGTCACGGTAACGGTGGGGCAAGGGGTGCGAAGAATCCCCGGGGGATGCCAGGCTACCAACACCGACGACCTCTGGCCCTGGCAACCTATAACGCTCGCACACTGCGTACAGACGTGAAGCTAATGGAACTCGAGGAAGAGTTGAGCAGGTTACGGTGGGATATCGTGGGATTATGTGAAGTCCGAAGAGAGGGGGAGGACACCATAATTCTTAAATCCGGAAACCTGCTCTATTTCCGGGAGGGCGACCAGCAGTCCCAGGGTGGTGTCGGGTTTATCGTCCACAAGTCCCTTGTCAACAACGTGGTCCAGATCGAGAGTGTTTCGGCGAGGGTAGTGTACCTGATACTCAGAATCACCAAACGGTATTCGCTGAAGGTCATACAGGTATACGCACCGACCACGGAACACCCCGACGACGAAGTGGAGACCATGTATGAGGATATTTCCAGAGCCATACATGGCTCCCGGTCCCATTTTACCGTTGTGATGGGGGACTTCAACGCGAAGCTAGGTAAACGAAGCGATAATGAGCCGAAAGTGGGGCAATTTGGGTACGGAGAGAGGAACGCACGTGGCCAACTGCTGGCTGGCTTTATGGAGAGGGAGGGCCTCTTTATGATGAACTCCTTCTTCAGAAAGCCAAAACAGCGAAAGTGGACATGGCTGCATCCCAATGGCGCTACAAAAAATGAGATAGACTTCATCTTGTCGACGAAGAAGCATATATTCAATGATGTCTCTGTGATCAATTCGGTCAAAACAGGAAGCGATCACCGAATGGTAAGAGGCACATTGAATATCAGACCCAAGCTCGAGAGATGTCGACTGATGAAGTCTACGCTCCGCCCAGCGCCCATCCAACTCCAAAACCCCGAAAGCTTTCAGCTCGAGTTGCAAAATCGTTTCGAATGCCTAGGAGACTGCGAAAATGTGGACAAATACAATGACAGGTTCGTGGAAATTGTCCAAACGACTGGGTCTAAGTTCTTTAAAACCCGTCGTTNAGGGCTCCTGCACACGACGCCGCCACCGCGCCGCCGCCGCGCCTTCACCGCGCCGCTACACTGTTCATACGCACCGAGTAAAACCGCCGCCGCGCCGTCAAAGCATAATTTCGCGCGCGGCGACGGCGCGGCATCGGCGCGGTAGCGGCGTCGTGCGCAGGAGCGCTTACGAAAGTTTTCCAAAATTTTGATGTATGTTGACCGAGTGTTGTAAACGTCAAGGGAATCACATGTACGATAAAATTTATAAAAGATAGTAAATTTTAAAATAAATTGCACTTAATTTCCTTTAAATTGCAATAGCTAAAGTTCTACAAAAATGTTTTCGTTTCCTTGAATTTTCAAAAGTGAATTTTCATCTGGGCTACCCTATAAAACAATAACACGAAGTTTTGGAGAGATGGTGCTCGTGCTAGGCTCCGAAGATCCTGTGTTACGAGTTTTTTATTTTATTTTTATTGAAACGCTATTGGAATATTTTAAAATTCATGATCACATAAGAACCTAAGTATATATTACAGTGCGTTTATTAATCGTTTATTTATATATGGATTGTGTATACGTATAATTAAAATTTTTTTTCCTATAAAAAAAATTTGCTAAATTTGCCGCCCCTCTAAATCTGCCGCCCTAGGCACTGGCCTACTTGGCCTATTGGTAAATCCGCCACTGGTCATACGGATCATCTTACGTGAAAAAGACTATAGTACTATGCAAGCAATATAAACTGTTTACATAATGACGTCGCTACTGTCATCATTGCTTTCACAAGCAATATGTTCCAATTTGTCCCTTGTCACATTTCCCTTTAGTTTCTGTGATCTGTGCTTGTTTCTGAGTTGATATCAATGAAATATTCCTTAGTACTTTTGATTTAAATTATTTTTTTTATTTTGACACGTGTTTGAAAAATCAAGGTCAGATTACAATAAAATAACAAGTGAAAACGTAACATTGCATTTCAACTCGCAATTTCGCAATATTGATGAGGAGATTCCATTGGAAAGTCTGTATTCATTCCTAGGATTCCCCTAACACCATCAAATTCAAGAGAAT